AATATATGCTGAATACCATTGGATTCCCCTAAATGGGAGACATGCGGAATAGATCTGAACCAAGCAAAGGGCCTGTGTTAATCCCTGTCAAACTCAACCCAGGCAGATGAACCTTAGATGACCTGAAGACATACAGACAAAAAAATTGTAAACCATGTACTAAACCAGCCTTGGTGGGAAATAGATTTAGCATGGTCATTGATGAACTTATTGACAGTTGTTTTGGGGAAGTGATGGTGAGGAATCCTAATTTAGAGGATACTAGATTAGGATACTCCTAATTTGGAGTCAGTCTTTAGCCAGAAAGTGATCAGGCAGAGGCTCTCTGTTTGCTTTTGCTTTTACGATGGAAAAGATTAGAGTGTATCTACATGGTATGGGGAAAGAGCCAATTGCGAGAGTGTTATTATTTAGTAGAACTATGAATAATTGATGGCATTTAGTGTCTGAGATGGGGAGAAGGGATGTGATTTAAAACACAGGTGGATATTACTGTTATCCTGTTAACTCGTTGTGAAGTTCTGTACCAATTTCACTGTACGATCTTAGTTGGCTTTATTCTGACATGTTCTGTTGTATACTTAAAAAAAAAAAAACCACAGGTGGAGAAATTGGCCTTGATGCAATGAGGAGGGTGAATATCAGTTTTAACGTACTGCAAGGGAGTTGAGAAGGATGGGAGATTTGAGTAGACTTACATATTTGATGAGGGAAATTTGAAGGTGTTCCATTTAAAAGGTGTAATTTTTTTGTGAAAGAAGGAGCAATATTGCTTGATTAAAATTGGGCTGGAAGCTGCATCCCAAATGATCTGAATGATAAATAGTGAACACAGCTGTTTGTCTTTTCCGACAGGTGAATGTCTTACAAAAGTTACAGCTTGTAATTTGGCGTTAGGGAACTTTAAGATCTGAATGTGAACAATTACAAAACATTGCTGAGGAAAATTAGAGAAGTCTTATAGAACGAGATAAACTGTTCATGAACTGGAAGACTTGATATTATTAAAATGTCAGTTTCTTGTCCAAGTTCTCCTACAAATTCAACCTAATTCCATTCAAAATTCTTTTTGAGGGATTGGTGGGTTGGTTGGGGCTACAAATTGATAAGATGATTCTGAAATTTATATTGATAAGCAAAGGACTTAGAATAGCCAAAACATTTTTGAAAAAGTACAAAGTTTGAAGGTTTATTCTGCAGAATTTGAAGGCATACATTAAAACTAAGTTAATCAGTAACATGGTATTGAGATCAGGATAGACGGAAAAATTGATGAAAGACAATAGACAGTCCAGTGAAACTCCAATGTATATGGTCAATTTCTCTTTGACAACTTTAGCAATGTAACTTAATGGGAAAAGGATTTCATATAAAGTATATGTCTAATATAGTACATCAATCTCAAATATACACAAGAATTGCTCAATATCATTAGCCTTAGAGAGAAATAAATTAAGACTGCAAGAGATTTCATGCCTATTATAAGTGTCTAAAATTCTATGTCCATCCTCCTAACTGACTCTGTTTTGCTTTGTCACATTGGGTTTTTCTTTATTCTGTTTTGTTTTGTCTTTTTTTTCCTTTCCTCTTCAAAGAAAAAGCTGTAAGAACTATGGGAGTAATGGAACCCAAAATGAGTGATTGTTATCGTAAAAAAGAGAGGAAAGAAAGTGATCTAAAGGATACAACTGCAAGTATATTTAAGTGTGTAGGATAGAAAACCATATTACTGAGTTCTTGTTGGATCATTGAACAGAACTGTCTGCAATCTCACTGTATTAATGTCCACTTTGTATGCTTTAATTTTGTAACCTGGACAATTGTTTCTGAGATGACAATATGTAACCTATTTACTAGTGAATTCCTACTGTATATTTTTTCTCTTGAAATTGTGTTACTTGTAGCCATTTACTGTTTTGTTTTTCTCTTAAATAAAAAAATGTCTAAAATTTAATAGACAACAATGCAAGTTCTGGGGAAGATGTGAATAATCCAGGCTTCTCAGGTTGCTGATAGGGATGCAAAATGGTATATCAGATTAGGGAAAACAGTTTAACAGCTTCTTCTAAAGTTAAATACACCATTAGACTCAGCAACCTTACTTCTAAGCACTTACCAAAGAGTGCTTTCCCAGAGAAAATCAAAACCATATGTTTTCACAAAGACTGATACATAAATATTGACAACGTTTTTATTCATAATAACCCCAAACCAGAAAACAGGTTTAAATCTATCCACTGGTGAATCAATAAACCAGGTGTGGTTTGAAAATAAGAATGATAACAACAAGGAATAAACTAGTGATACAATTAACCATATGATGAATCTCAAAATCATCATACGAAGCAAAAGTGGCCCAAAACAGGTACAACGTTGTATGGTTGCTTTTATATGCCTTGTGTAGTGGAGAAGACAATAGGAACCAAACAGCATCTGGGCTGTCCTAACCAACTCATGGAACAGAAACCTTAAAGTATGAATTGTGTTATATGTAAGCCACAACTTAATTAAGCTGTTATAAGGGAAACATATCTAGATCACTGTGAGGGCTGAGCAGTGTTTTCAAGCTTCATTATGAGTAATAGACATTTTTATCCCACTAGAAATTCTAAGGAGTTTAGGAGCTCTCTGCTAAGAACCAGAGACAAAACTTACATGCAGTTGATTAAAAAAAATTGTATCACACTTTGTTAAATGCAGATTGGTGAGTGCACATCTGAGTTTCTAATTTAGAGGTCTGGGAGAGAGGGGAAAGAGGTATTTTTACAAGGGCATGGGGATGGCAGGTGGTACTCTTCAGAGCACACATGGAGAAATCTACCCTTATGGGTGACAAGTGGGATGATTTCTCTTTCAAGTGTCACCTTTCTGACTTCCACAGCCTCTTCTTCCTTCTGAGTTCCACTGAGTTTCTTTCATAAACCAGCACATTTAGTTTTGCTCCAAATACCACTAGACTTTACAGGAGAGCAAGAAAACCCTGGGGTATGCACCCACCCTTCCAGGAAAATGGCACATCTCATTTGAGGCGGTTTGTTGAAAGGAAGGGGTTGGAATGTGGTAGTTAAGAGAGGGGCACCTGGACGGTGGGACAAGCCACTTCGCAGTGAGACCAAGGCCACACTCTCCCACTGGAACAGCCTTTGCTGCTGGAATGGGTTCAGGTGGTACCATCAAGACTCAGCTTCAGGTGTCCTGCCTCAATTGTCAGGAAACCCTTGTGCAGCTTGGCCACTGGCACCTTTGGTCATGTTCTCAGTCGCCATTTTGTTTTGATCAGCATTACCTTGTATTTTCCCTTCAACTCTATTTACTTTGAGTTTTAATTACCACGTGTATGTATGTGTGTAGTTACAATTACATAAATTCTGCCTTAGACCACAATTTTTTCCTTCTAGATCTTTCCTCAGATGCTTTACTAATTGGTTCAACAAGCTTTCCTCATCTAACTGTGGCTTAAGCTCCTCATTCCAAATCAGGCTGGCTACCCCTCAATCCACTGTGACTTTTGACAAATGAGTGTTTTATGATAACAAAAACAGTTTTGACACCCTCACTGGCCTTGTCTTGTTTCCTTTTGCACATCTGTCCTGCCTCACTGCCTTGCAGCTGCCGGGATCTCTCTAGGATTGGACCACACGCGCTGGATGCCTTGACCAAGGGAAGCCTGTAGCTGCTGAAACTTCCCTAATTCTCTTGGCCTCTTCTTTTCAATCAATACATAAACACTGTAATATTTATTGAGGCCCATGTGATACTTTTAATACATGAGTATGGTGTATAATGTTCAGATTGGAGCAAGCACATTTACTGGGAATATTTGTCATTTCTTTGTATGGAAAACATCCAAACTCCTCTCTTCTAGTTAAAAAAAGCTATATATATATATATATATATATATATATATATATATTCATTCCCTGGCTTTGATGGGCCCTGAAAAGTTCAGAAATATAATTAGGGGAAAGAAAACTGCATGCAATCTAGTGTCATGATTCAGAGTATCCACTTAGGAGTCACATGGCCCTGGTTTGAATTCTGGTTTGTCTCTTACTAGTTATGTGAATTGGGGAAGTAAATGTTTATTTGCCTCAGTTTCTACTGACAGTCTCACCCTCCTCGAATCAGCATAGCGTAGTGCTTAGAGGTATGGTTTTGGTGCTCTCTACACTGCCTGGCCTCCAGGAGCTGTCAGGTCTTAGGCCAGTGCCCTCCCCAAACTGGGTCCTGACTTCTCCAACAGAAAGTGGGGAGTGCCCATAGTGGCTGCCTCAGGGGAAATGGCCATATTTATTTTTTGAGACTCCTGAATATGTATCTAGTTACATTCTCCAAGAAGACCAAAATCAAAGCATAGAAATGATTTCTGATCTCTAAACACTGAAAAACACTAGGTTGCTGAATTTTTATGACATTTTATAATCCCATTGCGTGTATCTGTAATAAAAATGTAGACAACACAAAATATAGTATTTATAACTACTTTTTATTACCTCCCAAGACATCTATTTAATTAAAAAAATCAACCATAGAGATAGAAATGAAAGAGGGAGCCAGGGAGAGCTTAGAATGTGGGTGTGCTAGGAACAGTAACTAAAGTAGCTGGGCACAGATGGGAAGAAGCAACAGTTAGGGAGACTCAGTGCAGTGATGGGAGTGAAGGAGGAGGTTTAAGTGTCTCCTGCTGCTGCTTGTCAAATTCAGTGCAAAGCTCTGTCAAACAAAACATCAGAGACTTGAAGAATCAATGTAAGGAGACAGTGAGAATGGCTTTGAGTAAGAGTTTCAAGTCTGGAGGGAATCCTGATTAGCGTGTCCGGGGAAAGAGTCTTCCATAGCCAAGCATTTCCCATGGAGTAACTCCTCCCACCTCTGGGACAATTTTAGATCTGTGATACACAAAGAAAAAATCAGCACTTTCAAATCTTACCTTACACTATAAAGAGCCACAGAATATCTTTTATAAATGTTTTATAAGGAATGGATTGCTCACAATGAAGTAAAATGTTTGCTCAAGTTTATTAACCAGCAATAGATGAGTAGGAAACATTAAGGAATTTGACGCCAAGGATTGGTATTTTGTCTATACAAAAGATGTGAATAAAAAAAAATCCATCAAGACAAATGTGTAAAAGAATACAGCTGAACATTATCTTTCAAATGCTTTTCCTACACATTCCACAATCTTAAATCTAAGGATCTTTCAACGTTATTTGTTTTAATCTGAGACAATACATCTTATAAAGGGACTCTTTAAAAGTAGGAGGTTCACCCCATTGCCCTCAAAATTGCTTTTCATATCTGCTATGTGGAACCTTCTGGGCCTTGTCACACTGACACTCCATTTGTTTCTCACATAGTTTTTCAAGTTTCCAAGGAAATTTGCTTTTCTTAGGTTGGAAAATGATTGAAAATATACTACATAATGTTTTTCTTAATTCAAGCTACATATTCATATTTGAGGTTGAAATTCCCACTCTCTTATCTTTTAGGACAGTTTAGCATTAAACAACAGGTATATTATCAACAAATCCTATGTGATTTATACCTCAGCTCTCCTCAAAAGCTTTTCCTTCCTCAAGAATAAGAATGGGAATCCAAGTGTCTCGGGGTCTGCATGGGAGGGAGCTTGATTTTGCTCCATCAGATTGTGCAAAGATATTTTTACAGAGAGCGTCATGCTTATTTCTATAAGGAAGTTATTTTTTGGGGGGGAGGGGATTCAACCAAGAAGGAGATTAAAATCCAGAGTAGGGATAAGGGCAAAACAGGTATTTTTAGGAAGCATATTGGCATCAGGGGACCTTCTTCATCACCGGAGCCGCTGCAGTTGAATGGAAATTTCTGCTGTAAAACACACACAAAACAAAAAAGCCCATATTTAGAGAAACACCAAGAAGAAACTACAGCTCTCCCCCAGGAAAAATGAATAAAGAACAAGTTCCCAGTTTAGTTTACTGGACTGCTGGAATGGGTCTCCGTTACTCTGTGTGATCAATAGGAGGCAGCAAAGCACCCATTTGTCTTAGAACTTACATATTTAAAATGACCTGCACTTTGGCTGCCTAGGAAAGGCAAATCCTTCATTATGAATGAGCATCTGAAAGCCCTGGGTGTGCCCGACTTACCTCTTTACACGTGCAACAAATTGTTGCACCCATTTGGCTGCAGGATTCAGGCATACCAATGTTTTATTCCTCAACTGGATTCTAGGAAAAAATAAAATTAAAAATGAAAGTAATACTACATAGTCAATCTTGCACCTTTAAATAATGGAAACAGTTATGAAAATAATTAGTCTTAGATGAAGTGAAACTGGAGCTGGGAAGTTTTGGACCTGAAACAGGTGATTTGTGACATGAGGCTGGAATATTAGAAAACCTGAAGCCTGTTAGCTGGGAGTTGGTGGATGAATCCAAAGTTGACAGAATCTCACATGTCAGAGATTAGTTTTTTGTTGGTAACCTTTATGACTTGGAGAAGTACCAAAGAGCTGATCCGAGGTTAGCTCACTGCTGAAGTTATATCACAATACAGTATCTTTAAAATATGCTCGTTCACTGGGTACGATGACCTGTAGAGGCTTGTAGTTCTAGCATTCTGGGAGACTAAGGCAGCAGGATCACAAATTCAAGGTCAGCCTGGGCAACTTAGTGATTTAGCAAGACCCTAAAAAGAAAAGAACAGAAAGAAAGAAAGAAAGAATAGAATGAAGAAAGGAAGGAAGATAGGGAAGGAGGTACAGGGAAGGGAGTGAGACAGGGAAGAACTGTCAGGCGAAGGCCTGGGGTTCAGTCCACAGCATGGCAAAATGAGTGAATGAAAAAATAAGTGAATAAGCAAAATAGGTGATGGAAAACACTCCACTAAAGATATTTTGTCTGAAAAAAATCAATAAAATTTAAGATGGGAGAGGTTGTAGAGCTTGGTTGCTCCAAGTACACTTCATTGCACTAGCAGTTAGCAAGACTTTCCTTGTTCTAAGAAATTAGGCTGTATCTTAGAAGTAGTGGTTCAAGTTACAAAGTCAAAGCAACTAGTGATTTCTTACTGTTGTTTTTTTGAAATTCTGCATTACTTCTACCCTTTTTTCTGTTTTGATTTTTTTCTTTAAATAAATAAAAAAAGAAATTAGGCTGTAACGAAAGCAGCAGTGATCACTATTGGCCCATGTTTAGCAAATGCCGTATTTTACAGCATGCCACACACTATGCCCCACAGGTTACTGTGGACCATCTGCATTCATCTCATGAAAATCCTGTGCCAGAGAAACTGTTATTTCTTCACTGTCTAATGAGGATCTTCAAGCTTAGTAAGTTCAAGGAACTCATCCAAGATGACTCAGCAAATACTTGACAAAGGAAGATTCAAATGAAGATATTATATCTCCAGAACTCACAGCTTCAGCCACTGCTTTCTACAAGCCTGACTGGAACCATGACCAAGGGTCAGACATAGTGCTAAGGTCCCTAACCTGCACTGAAAAAGTGGCCAACATTGGGGAGGCTCTACCCTTACTGATGTGACTTCAAAATATGATTTCTTTGCATATCGTTTATCTTGGCTATAAATCAGCAAACAGCAGACTCCATCCATTGAACTTTGAAACTCCATTTTTAAAATTTTAAAGACCAAAAAGGATAAAAATGATTCAAAATTAAAAAAAAAACCAGGAAATTAACAGTAGTTAATATATTGCATATTATTATCTTGAAAGTAGTTGTACAGATTACAAGATTTAGGCATAAAAATAATCAAATAATAAGACAATGAAAACACAAGCTGTTCTTTTTGATGAACTAACAGATTAGTGGTATAGTTGTCTATCTTGTGTTTATGTACACACACATATGTATACATATATACATATGATCTTTTCACTTCTCCTTTGCCTACCCTAGTTTTATAGCAGAATAGTTTGAAATAGCTAAATCTTGGAAACGACCCAAATGCTCATCAACTGTGGAATGGTTAAAAAAGACATATTTTTTATACAATGGAGTATTACGCAGCTATAAAGAAGGATAAACTTAAGGCTTTTATAGATAAATGGAGACAACCTGAGACTATGCACATAAGTTAAATAAATCAGACGTGTGTATAAATATCATATTATCTCCTTAGTATAAAAAACTGGAAGAGTGAATGAGATCCAAGGTATACAATAGATACTGTGAAAATAAAAGAAACAAAGGGTTCAAAGGGAAATTCCATCTTTTAGGTGAAACAGAACTTAGAAGTCATAGATCAGGTGTGTTTTCAGAAGAATCTTTTGATTTCCATTCTGAATTCATGATGGAAAAACAGATTTTGAAACACCTGGTGTTTTCTCTCCAGATTGGTTTGAGTTTGTAATAAAAAAATCACAGCTTTGGTTTCTGTATCTGGCTGAAATTCAGAAATTCAGAATTTGACAAGAAAGTATAGTCATAATTTTTCTTATTTCAAAAGGATGACTTTAAAGCAGAGAACATTAGGGAGTATTACTTCCCTTGGTCGAGAGGTGAGAAACTCGAGTCATAAGGGAAATGGAATCAGAAGAAGTCCAGCTGTGCTGTGCAGCCAGGAGAAATGCTTCCACATGTGACACTGCTAGACTTCCCATCTTTGAGGGAAATAATCATCCTTTAGGCAGAATATAATGTCTTTTTAATGAAAGATCCCACGTACATTTTTGTTATCCTTTATCTCAGTTTTACAAGTTAGACACAAATCACTGGTATTGAAATAGGACAAACAAAAATCTAATTACAAACATTCCAAAAGCCTAAAGAAGTGCATGGGGGCTGGGGGTGTTGCCTAGTGGTGAGGGGTCTGCCTGGCATGTGCAAGGCTCGGGTTTCAACTCCAGTATCACCCTCCCCCACAAAATAAAAGATGCTTGTGGGAAGAGCAACTAATAACAGTGAATGAAAGTCAGAGACGCCATGAGAAGGAGATTATGTGGGCTGCACATTTCAAGATGTGAAAAGAGGTTTGGGAATGAGGTGAATGTGGGTGAACCCCTGGCTCCATTCCCTCCCTGTGGTGGCCCCAGGTAGGGGATTAGCCTCCCTCAGTCTCTGTTTCTTTTGATGTTTTTTTTTTAGACAGGGTATTGCTATGTAGCCCAGGCTGAACTCAAATTCATAGCAACCCTCCTGCCTCCGCTTCCAGAGATCAGGGATAACAGACAGGCTTGCACCACCACACCTGGCTCTGTCTGTTTTTGCATCTGTAAAGGATGCAAACAATAGACACACTTTGAAGGAGCAGGGAAAAAGAAAAATGAAGGAGCAAGCCGGTGTAAAGAAGTTAGTCCATGGTTGCTGCAAAGTAAGGACTTAAATATTAAATATAACTGATGCTCATTATTAGTTTCAGATGTTTAGCAACATTTGAGTAAATCTCTGAGATTATTATCAGCTATTATGGCAGCATTTGATCTGACTTTCACCAGGGGAAAGGAATTATATTTATTTATTTTTCTTGCAACTCACATGATTTGTGTCTTTGGGCAACCGTTCCCAGGGGGTAGAATTCGAAGTCGATGTATGTTGGGTATGCGGACGACTTGTGAGGTTTCTTGCATACATCTACACTTCAAGTTAGTGTTATAGGCCTCCAGAATACCTGTAAACATGAAATTGGTTATTCTAATCCCTTTGGCATAGAACTTATAATTCTGAAGCAAACTTTCATACTCTGCATTAGAATATTTGAAAATTTCCTGCTGTCTGGGCGTAGTGTTGCACACCTATAATCTCAGCAATCTGGAAGCAGGAGGACCAAAACTTTGAGCTCAGTTTGAGTAGCTTAAAGACTTAGCAGAACCCTGTCTCAAAATAAAAAGTAAAAAAGAGTCGGGGATGTGGCTCAGTGTGAAGACCTTGTGCTCAATTCCCACTACCCAATAAATTAAGATGTAATAAAAAATAAGACTCAAGCTGGTATGTTCCCCCATATATGCCTTTAGTTTGTATATTTCCATTTGTCTTGGCTTGGATATTTTCAAATATATTCTACCAAAACCTTAAAAATAAAATTAATTTTTAAGAAGCATAATGCTTACTGAAATTTGTGGTCATTTTATATTGCTATTTAGGTTACATCATACAAATTGAGAACTGCTACTTTAGGGACACACAACTCAGCTATGCTAGCACAGTATAAAATCAGCCAATCTTTAATGCCACCACATGAAACCAGAGGCCATGGTCTGGTTGGCAATATCTATAGAACAACATCTGGAATAGAGTTCTCTCTCTTATCTCCCTTACCCCATTCTTTATTAGACAAAATTCCACAAAAGGCACTCTTCTTTTCGGTATTTGTTAAATATGTTGGATCTCTATCTCAGTTGCAAATTATTACCAGATTAAAAACAATTATAAAAAATTGAGACTATTTTCATTCAACAATTACAGTTGTTAGTAGTAGATATTTTTTCTAAATGATTCATCTCATGTATTTCATTGGACTGTATGCCTCTTAAAAACACATTTATCAAATTCTGTTTATCCATATCCATAGTGGTATCCATGTCTACCACTCTGCTTGACAGGCATTTATGAATAAAAAGACCCGATTTGCAGACATTTACAGATTAGTGGGGAGAACAAATGAACAAAAACTAAAATGCTACAGAAGATGGTATTATACCCAATCTCTGCACTGCATCCTCACAAATAATAAACTTTTCAGAAGCAGTAGGAAAGCCTCATGCAATATGACAGAAATGAGTTTCTAGAGAGTGAAAATAACATGGGAGCAAAATAAAAATGGGGAGGAGACCATTACATTTTAAGAATAAAAATTTATCTTCTGGATGATGTTTTTTTTTTCCTTGTGCCTGTATCCTTTCCTTCAGTCATATAAACATTGCCACAATTAGATATTTATCTAGTACCACACAGATTGCAGCCCCATTTAAATTTTGAAATCTGCCTTTTGCAGAATATGTGTCCTTTGTCCCTGGTGCACGTACAAGGATTGATGAATGCCCCATGCAGAGATTGGTTGATGTCAATAATTTTATCCCCTGTAAGAGGTCAGTGTGTGGTGAGAAATAGAATGATGAGATATAAAGGGAACACTTATTATAGCAGGGATTGTTTTGAAAATGGACAGGAATACACAAACCAAGCATAAGCCACATAAACATTGGATTTCCAGAATCTCCTTCTTCTTTAAACAAAAATTTTGATATAAAAGTTCCAGTTTCTATTCCAAACCCCCTTAAGTACCTTATGTTTAGAAATCTAGAAACAACTTTTCTGCACTTTACTCAGACTTCCCCAATTTTTAATTGAACATTTAGAAAAAAAAAGAAGGAACTGGTTGAGGAGCATTTTTGTTGACAGGAGAGCTCAGAATGAGTGAAAGTTCTCACCTTGGCCTGGAGAGAGGCTGCTGATCAGCACGGAGAGCAGCAGAGCCACAGCACTGAGCCTCATGCTTCCTGGCGGTGGGCTGCACTCTTCCCAGAGTCCGAGTTGTGTCTTCGCAGCACCGGGGCTCCTATTTATTTATGCCCTCCTGGGCCCTCCCCTTGCCTTCTTTCCAATAGTACAGCTGCAGCATCAGCTCTAAAAGCCCCCAAATATTGCTGAGCTTGCTTTTCAAGAAAGAAAAAAATTTCTCTAGCAAATTTTATGAATTTAATTGAGAACACTGTTAGTGTAATAAAATATTTCCTGAAAATGTAGACTACAAATGTCAGGGATGCTGCGGAGATTTGAGGGTGAAAAGAGAGGGCAGAGGTCACAGTGTGGAGGCTCTGAGGGACTCGCTTGTGATCACTGTGGAAAGCTGTGGCTCTGATTGCTTCTCTCAGTGAATGGCCAGGCAAGTTTCTCAATGGTATTTGAAATAATAAGCTTCTTGGTATTATGGATTCTGTTGATCATGTCCTTGTATATCCAGCAGCTGAACACAGCTTTGGTGATGGCCGGTGCTCAATGCTTAGTTGCACACATAGTGATTGACTTCTTTTACAAAGGTCCTGATGCTGATGAGCTGCAGTTTTCTCTACCACATCTTTTACTATCTGAGATATATGATGGTTTATGTAATTTGATCATCACGAGAATCTTGAAAGTAGCCATGTATATCCTTTCACGGATGTGCCTGTGTCATGATGAAGGGAGGGAAGGGACAGCAGTTTTGGGGAAGAGCATCTTTCTGGCTGTAGTGTGCATGTCATTGAACTGGAGAAGCACGTGCTCATGGAGTCACAAGAGCTCCATCAGATGGTGCACCTGACTTAGACAGTTTAAACTATGCAGGTGTGAAGTTTGGTTTGATCTCACCAAATAGTACAGGAGTTAAATAGCCCACAGCCTTGACTCATTTGGTAGGAGCTCTTTGATTAAAAAATATGTGGACAATGGCCAATTGGTCTCCAGTGTCGCCAAACTGTTCTGGGAATAGATAGGTGTGGACATATCATACCAGACCCACTGGACTACTGAAAAGTCAGGAGTTTAGTCTTCCAGTGTAGCTTTCTCAACAATTTGATTGTGCTGGTTAGTTGGCATTGCTGATGTTTAGTGACTAAAGTGCTCCAGCAAGTGTGGAATGTGTCATGTCACACAAGCTGTGCACACCAAGGACTTCTTCAGGTGGCCTAATGACCGTGTGATGAGGAACTTCATCTGCGTGCAGGCAGTTTGGCAGTTCTGGGTGTTAGAAAGTTTTTTCTTACATATATGTGAAAGCTGCTTCTTTTTTAAAAAAATTTATTTAAGAAGAAAAAGAAAAAAAAAACAGAAAAAGGGCACAAGTAATACAGAATTTAAAAAAAAACAGTAGGAAATCACTATACGTAGTATTTTTTTCTCTTTTTTTTGGTACTGGGGATCAAACTCACAACCATGTGCTTGCAAGGCAGGCTCTTGTGCCACTCAGCTAAATCCTCATAGTAATTAAGTTATTTTGTCTTCACAGAACAGTTCTAAATGCTCTCCCTTATTATGGTGCTCCAAATTAAAAAAATTTTTTTTTGTGTGTGTGGTACTGGGAATTAAACTCAGGGCCTTCACACTGAGTTACATCCCCAACTCTTTTTATTTTTTATTTTTAATACAGGACCTTGCTAAATTGAGATAGGAGGATCAAAAGTTCAAACCCAGCCTGGAGTAGCCTCTTAGAGGGCTGGGCTTATAGGCAAGCACCAACCACACCTGGCTTACTCCAAATATTTGAAATCACAGTGTATTGTTAGATTCACTCTAAAACAGATGAGGGTGGACTCTGGAGTAAAAGAAGTTCTCTTAGAGTAACTCCTACATGGTAGAGAGGGGAGGAGGCAGAATTTGGAGATTGCAATGTTGCTGTGACAAGGCTTTGGTGGCTCATCAGGGAGCTGCAGAGAAAAGACGGTTCCTCATGGCCCAAAGTGGCAGAGGCACCAGACAGTGTCCTGCTTTCCCTGCCATGCTCCATCATGTGGCTAGACTTACTCAAAAATAGCGGTGGCCTCTGATGAAGAACAGAAGCAGATCTGAAGGGATGAGATGTTAATTACCTGCACTGCTTGCTGCTGGTCAGCAAGTGATTTCTTTTCTTTTTTTCCCCTTTTTTATTTTAAAGAGGATAAAACTGAGGAAAATAGAACAGAATAAAACCAATCAAAATAAAGCAGTATAAGTGATACAAGACTCCCAAACCTTACAAAATCAATAATAGTTACTATAATGCTCTTTATTGTCTTCAAAATAGCTGCAGATATCTTTGGATATAGTAAAAATTGAACAGGACAGAGTATAGCAGAAACAATAAAAAAAAGAATGCAATAAAGGACTTCAAAATAAGCCAATAGTAAATCCAGAATGGCTACCATAACATGTCTTGCTATCTTTTAAATTGCTGCTCATGCCATCAGACTTAACATAATCAAACAAAACAAAAGAGAATAAGACCCAACCCAAGAAAACAATGAAAATGACATAGTTTCCAGGCAGAGATCACCTGCTTTTGAGGCCTGGTTCTCTCCCTCCACAGTCCGCAAATAGCGCTGACTTCCAGAGAGAGGCTTGGGTGTGGCTGTCCCCACTTCAGCAGTGGCCTGAATACCGTGTGGCTTTCCAGGTGAGGATTACCTCCTTAGCAAGTGATTCATTTCTTTTTGTCCTGGCCTGCGGGTAAGTCCACGGAGACCCTAGATGGGGAATGGGGATGAAAAGGAACAAGAGACACAAATGATAGAGACAAGATGAAGAAGTCCAATCAAGTCTCGTTTATTCATAGAAGGAGTAACAAATATATAGGATATTGAAGAGGAGGATTTGGGTTCTGAGACGTCAGCAGGTGACTTGGCAACAGTGGCAAGACCGAGGGTCAAAAGTCAATTCAAATTTCCCAGGTGCGGGCTCATAAGGCGGGCTGATTAACATAATTCCTGAATAGGTCAAACAAGCTAGGAGGGCAAGGTGCTGTTTAACTACCAAACTTAACTCCTGGAGGGAGTTAAGGTGGCGTGGCCTGCAGATGTTAAGGTGGTACGGCCTGCAGATATAAGGTGGCAGCCAATTACAGGGCTTCCCACATCCCCAGCCCAGCCAAATCCCCAGCCCAGCAAGTGATTGCTTTAAGGAGAATTTGAACAGTGATCTTTTCTGGCCATCACAGGATAATGAACAAAGGTTAACAGTCCAAAGTGTGGCATAAAGTGGTCCAAGACTGTATATGTCACTTAATTTTTCTAGGTCTTATTCCTATAATTTTTCACATGGAGACAGTACTAATTTCAGAGGACCTGGAGAATGAAATCACCTGGTCTACTAATGTACTTAGCAGAGTTCTTGGTCTTTCTATTTACCCACTAACCCACTTATTTATCAGTACATCTACCCACCCACGGACCCATAGTTTTTCCTGGCTTCTACTCCAAAGTTCTAAGGTACATACTTCTAAGGTAATTACTCCAATTTATTTAAGTTTATAATATACTTTGATGCTCTCTCTCCATTTTCGTTATTTTTCCCAAATCCATTGATTTTTGTTTTTGTTATTTCTCATAAATCTAGCTAGCCATCCTTTACCTCACCATCACCTTCTCTGACTCAGTCGCTTTTCCTCCTCCAACACTACACTACTCCTAGCAGGGCTTTGCCAGTACAAAGCAGAGGAAGCTCATTATCTTGCTCAATCCAGCATTATTTTTCTACTAATGCTTTCCTGGACTGAGTAACATTGTTTTGGTTACATGCATTGAGTTGATAGTCAATAAAATATTTCTGTTTCTTTTGAAAACAGCTTCTAACTTTTGTGCAATATGATCTTGGGATTTAGTATAGATGTTTTTACATTTGCCCTGTTATGAGTATCATTAATTGTTTGTCAGACTAAAAATGAGTGATATGGACAGTAACTATATATACATAGGGATACAGATAGCTACAAGAAAATTCCTGAATAAATCTACAAAATCCCTAAATTGACCTTTATTAAAATAGGGGTAAGAAGTCAAAGAGCTAATTCTAAAGCAATTAGCAGCTAATTTTAGTTCCTTTAATGCTCAGAGTTCTATATTTAGCTTATATAGACCAAAGAAACCGTTTATCTTCTTGTCCCAAGATGCAGCTGGTAGGTTGGACAGCTGTCTGATAAATGATTTTAGAAGCTTTAAGTAAGAGACTCCATAAGATGATTCTAGAAGTTTCAAGCCAGAGACTCCTTAATATCATGCACAGTAGACATGTGACTTTCAAAAACTTAAAGCCAAGAAGAAACAACAAAAGCAGCAACACAGACTTCATACAGCACAGGGGCACAGTGTTTGTGATGCCGTTTCTGTGTGGTGCAAATTGCACACTCGAGTGGTTATCAGGTCTGTGCTGCAGCAAAAGTTCTTTCAAAACGAGATACACAGAGGCCTTAGTGAAAGTAAGCAGGACAAAACTGTTCCTCAGAGCAATGACAAGAAGGACATTCTCTCCAGATACCAAAAAAGGAAATGTTCCTAAAACAATGAAGTGGCACAACTGGTCCACCTATCTGCCAGACTAGGGAGTCAACAGGCATGGAGTTTTAAAGGAATAAAATCCTGATGTTTTTATTAGTACATGCGTGTGATACAAATGCTGATGTTCCTCATGCAGAGAAGGCACGTGCATAGCACATCTTTCACTCCTTTCTTCATCCCCTCCCTCCCTCTTGATAGCCTTGCTATCTGAGAAAGATCACCCTACTTCCCATTACCTTTTATTTTACTCTTAACTTATAGTTCAGGTTTCTCATCTAAGATAAACCATGTGATATTTAAGCTCTTATGCCTGATTTATTTCACTTAACACATGGTTTCAGGATGCATCTATTTTTCTACAAATGACTCAAGCTTATCTGTATGGCAGAGTAATACTTCATTGTGTATAAATATACGTTTATGGCTGCACAATTCATAATAGCTAAATTTTATGGGGAAAAAGAGAAAAGAATGAAGGGAAGAAAAAAGTAATATATACACACACACATATTATACACACACACACAAG